ACACTTCCACTGATCACTTCCAGAACAACATGCGGTCGTGGTCAGATTCCTATTTTCAGAAAATGGAAATTCATACCGTTCAATCGCAAAATGAATTATACTTGTGTAACATGTCCCATGCATCCAATGACGAAATACAAGGAATTGTATCTAAACGGCCTTCCTAGATGGTCGTTCTCCTGAAAAACTAGGTCATGACTTAATGGTAATATAGTAAAGGTTTTTGGCGGGGGCGCCACTAGACCATTTTGATTTGTTCTGGAGGGGGGGGGGGGGGATTCGGACCAAATTTAAGCCATACAGGGCAACGGTATAATTTAAATTGTGATTCAAAACACGTCAGACCGGAATTAATGCATGTTTTTTTTTAAAACTTGTTCCAGTGTACACAGCGACGGGAGGTTGGGATAGAACAAGCACACAACAAAAATTTGATCTTAAATGGTGAATAAATGATAACGAATATATATAGCATCATGACTTATGCATAAAATAACGCATTTGTTTCTCACTGATATAGGGTTGAGTAATTATCTCATAGATTGGTTACGACTCATGAATTCCTAAAATTCATTCAGAAAATTTTTTCATTTTCAAAGGCCGGTAGAGGATTTTCAAATAGAGGGAGTGTGCAAAATGGAAGCAGCGTGCAGTCATGTACCAATATGAGCTGGAAGCATGCCAAGAATAAGTTGATTTATACAGGCTATCTGCAATCGCAAGTGACTGATTACACATCCGACCAATAACTTATGTTGACAATTTCTCCTTGAACATGATAATGAGCTGATGTTGTTCCATGAGTACGCGTATAACACGTACATTTCCACGAATATATACACCGGGACTAAAGCCTTCTTTTTCACCAGGTAGATGTCAGCCTTTCGGTTTGCCCACTTTAATCAGTGACAGAATGTTTTTTTTTAATGAATGGCTGAAATTGAGTAGCACCGTCAATAGTCCATAAAGAGGATGCGATGAGGACATCATGGACCGAGTTTTACAGATGCCTAAAGGCACTCAACAAAATTAATGTTAAACATTAAACGGCAATGAGCGACGAACCTGTCAACCAAGGGGTTCGACCCACAGGGAGAATGATGAAGCGATTGAGAATATTGACATTTTTGATAACTTCATGTAAAGAAAGAAAGAAAGGTGGGAAGGAAATAGAAAAAACGTCTTTTCCCCTATTAGATGTTTAAATGTAGGCCTAATTGTGAAAGAGGGTCATAAACAAAGAGAAAGGGACAGAGAGGAGGGAACGGTAGGGAAGAGAGAGAAAGAGGAAGGGAGTAAGACAGAGAGGGGGAGAGATAGGAGGATAAGAAATTATAAGAACAGTCGGAAGCATGTAGCAAGAGCACAAATTGGTGACAGAGGGCGACAGAGTTATGAAAGCAACAGTGCCATTGATTAGGAGAGTTTGGCCAACCCGGTTCGAGTTGGACACAAAATGGCAGTGGTAGATCCAGGGGCGTGGGCCGGGGCGACCCCTGGCATATAAAATCGGTTAAAATACGTTCATTTTACCCTTTTTTGTAAAAAAAAAAAAAAAAGGAAGACGCCCCCCCCCTTGCCTTGCAATAATAACAAAAAGTTGTGCTCAAGGGGAAGGGGGTGGATGTTCAGTTAAAGAAAAATAGAGGGTATTTTCCCTTCTCCCTCTTTGTTGAGCACAAAAAAAAAATTAGTGCTCACTACACTACTGAGAAAGAAAAGGGGTACGTTGATGGAGGAAAATAAAGAAATGAATAAGAGCAGGTACATTTATGAACTTTAACCACAGAACTGTGAGTTTAACTGTCACTTCTGTGACTTTAACTTGTCAGAAATAAGTTAAGGTTGTCAAAATCACGATGATATGGCATTTTTTATACATATTTATTCACTCACAGAATAGTTTTAAGAACGGGTCAATCAGCGGAACCACATACATAATGCTTGAAATGGCGAAAATCATCAAACGACGATGGAAAACGATTTATTCGATAACGTCGTCGTAGATGGGGCTATTTCAAAATACCAGTTAGAGTACATACTACTACTAGTCAGGGTTAGGCGTAAAAATGTCAGAGGTAATATTTACTTCTGGCATTTTCACCTCTAAATTTGTTTTATCTGGCACCACCAGAGCCATGAGATCTCATGAACTTGAAAGAGTAACTGAACTGGGTATGTTGGTACAATTGTCGGGTGTATATGTATGCTGAGAGCATTTCAAATATTAAAGAGGAAACAACAGGAAGAAAACATGTTTAAAGTTGTATAGTCTGTACCAAGATTATTTGGAATATGCATGTTCAAGTCTTATGGTTCAAAACCGTATCGTATTAAAAAGGGTAAACCCATTTTATTTTCATTTGTTTTCCGAGTGCATTCCGCATTCTGCAAAACGCAATTAGGCGAGGTTATAAAAAATTACCCATTCTTTTTCCTTAGCGTTTTTTTAAATTAAATTAGTATTTTAAACACGTTACATATTGCTTTTCGCCATAGCCCTGTAATTTCTAATAATACATTTACATCATTTTGTATAGATAATCATTTTTTTCCATATACACAATGATTTCTAATGCGGTATTTGGAAACTATGTATTTGAACAAAATGGAGGTTTGTTATGTAAACATTACCAGTTTGTATACTTAAAGAGCTTGGCTGGCAATAACAACATTTAAAAATGGGAACCTTGTTCACTTGATTCTTTTTTTATTTATCCCCAAAATCAACTGATTTATCAGCTTGCACTCAAATCCACTCACTAACACTCACACATAAGGCAATAATTCAAAATAAAAGCAATATTTTAAACCTTTCCAAACTATAATCCAGTTTTTTCTCTCTCTCTATTCACAATATTAATACGAATGCACACACACAATATCAACTCGTAGCACAAACTATTACAGACATAAGACAGACATAAGACATCTGGTTCAGATCTTTATTAAGTATACAAAATGATCATCACATTAGAAGAAATTGTCATGAGACACATTTTCCCTCTCTTTTCAATAACTTTTGTCTTCAATTAGATAAGATAAATACTCAGGGAAACAAGATGTTCATGAAATCCTTTGCAAGATGAGAATTCATTGATTGATTAAAATTAAATGCGTTCTTCATTAGCACTGCTCGATTTAATTCTTGATCTAAATTAAATATCCATTTATTTGCGCAAAATATATATTTTTTTTCAGCCTGCAGCTTTATTTTACTGAGAATCAGGCGTGTAGCTTTATTTAGTGGATCAATATCTGTGGAAGATAAAACATTCACTTGTAAATAATTAGAAGAAAAATTACTGAAAATTTTGAACAGAGTCATCCACTATTAAACTGAAAGAATTGAAATGCATAAACTGTAACCAATTGCAGTGCATAAATTGAAATGAAACAGACATGACAAACAAAAAGATATATGTACATAGCACAGATTATATACAAGCTTATTTATAATTTGAGGAAAAACCCATAAGTAAATAATTTAAAATCAATTATCAATGTACATTCCTGGATAAGAAAGTGTAATACTCTCTAGATTGTGGAAACAACTTTTAAGTCTTTATAGTTACTTTTTCCAAGAAGCCATAAAAATCATCACTACACTTATTGTGTAAGATATCAGTTTAATGTGAAGTGGGGGTTTTCTCCCCTAAAAAAACAATCAAAATAGAATAAACATCTTGTAGCACAGACTGCATTTACTCCTTTTTGTGTATTTACCCTACATGGTATGATTTGATTGTGGTTTGACAATAATTTTAGCAGGCTCTAGCCAGTGTTATCTTAATCTATACACAAATGTAAGTATGCAACAGGTTAAAATCATGTAGAGTAATGAAGATGGTACTCATACATGTAAGTCCACAATCTGGCAGATTTAACTTTGACAATATCTCCACCGACCCAGCCTCCCCCTAACTTGCTAGTAAAGTCAATAATGATCCACAAATCATTGCTTTCCTTCCACTGATCTATCACACAAACTACAAAATCCCTGAAATTTACCATCAGAACACTGCTGAAAAATGATGTACAGATGTACCTGTAAAAGACCCAAAATGACAATTAACCCATTGTCTACTGGACCTGGGCATTCCCTGTATTGAGCCTATGGGAATTAGAGAATTCAGTAGTCAACAGGTTAAGAAAACTTTTGACTTTAATCTATTATGCTACATGTCATTAAGAATTTAAAGGAACACACACATGTACAGGTACATGCATGATAGTACAGTCAGTAGGTGTCTAGTCTTGAGTAATCCTTGTATTCTAAAAATGTGTATTTAGCGATTGAACAAATGATCCAACCTGCAGGTGATGTACACTGTGCATTGTACAGTCATTACAATGTTACGGTCTCTTTGCAACGCAGTTGTAGAACAAAATGTGTGAAGGATGGTAGCATGCTCTGTGATTGAACTGTCATCCTTATCACTTACAGATCATGTTTTTTAAAAACCAAATCTTGGCCAAAAGTAGCCAGCCCCCCCCCCCCCACGAAAAAAAATATGAAAGAAATCAAATCCATTTTTGTAAATAGCAATTTAGTGATTGATAAGTAACACTCTGCACTCTGTCCTTGTATCAATGGAATGCTGTGTAAAATGCTTGAATATGTAAACCTCAGTAAGGAAAGTCAGGATCATCTAAATGTACCCTGAAGTAAAAAGAATACATATTCTGACATACAAGTAGCAATGAATAAAAAGAAAGAAAAGACATTCTAGCATCCACATAAATCATCAATACATATCAAACAATTTATCCCTCAGGATTTTCTTGTATACATTTTGTGTAAATTGCAACATATTTCAAAAATAAAAAGTAGTACATTGTACATGTACATGTATAGCTTCCATGACAAAACAGCATGCATGTGTAACTGACATTTTTTGCAAAATTGAGTTATTTAGTGTATTTTGAAATGATTTTGAAAGATAAAGACCAGTTCTGGTCATGCGATTGCATTGTGAAATTTAGGGTTTAAAAAATACTGTAATTACCTATTGTGATAAGTCAACACTGAATAAAAACATTAAAACACTGTTAACAGCAAAATGAAATGCACGTTTCTTCTGTCTCAGAAACACAAAAATGTCAGTTACATGTACTGTACATATAGGTACCAGTATGCTGTTTTGTCGTGGAAAGGCAGTATAGCATTTTACTGTTTCTACATGTACCATATAAGACGCATTTTTTACTCAATAGGCATAGTGGAAATATATTATAAATTACAAAAAATGCCAATAAATATATCAGTCAAATTCATGTATAGAGATTGATGTGCAAATGCATGTATCACAGCTGAAATAACATTGAACACAAATAAATACTGCCAGAAATGGGCTCAAGGGAATTTCCCAATAAATAACAAATTTGCAGGATGTATTATATGTACATGTACATGTAGTATGCACACATGTACATGTATATATGTATGAACTACATCCTCAGAGCAACCATGCAATTTTACACATGGTGGCTGCAAGACTACAAGTGCACCTATAGAAAATAAAGATAACATGTCAACAAAAATTGATACTTGAATACAAAATATATTCATTTGTAACAGTTTTTTTAATCTAAACATCACAATACTTTAAAATCAAATAATCAAAGAAGGTTTTAGGACTACATGTTACATGTACTAATACATTGCTTTGCTAAGCAAGTATTACAGTACTTTAATATGCTTGCATCTTCATGTATGCTGCAATCGTGGAAATAATGAATTCCCCCCCCCCCCCCTCTTTCAATACCAACTCAAGCGGGTCAAAAAACCGTCAAAATAAGGATTGAATTTAAAAGCTTATTTCCATTGATTAATTAGAGAAAAGCTGAAATGAAAGGCATTGAAGAGGCTTATAGGATGTAACCCCTACAGAGAATTGCAAGAACACAGCATGCAAACATCTGTATTACTCAGACTTCAACACTCTTAATTAAATGAATCATACACAACACTAATTTACCAATTGTTCACTGTTGCATGTACATTGTACAACACTGAGGCCTAAGAGGAAATAAGCAACATGACAAAAGAGTATAGGGGCTACTTCCGACTTACTGCCTTTACAAGAACAATTGACAGCTACCTGGAAAAGGGCCCCTAAACACTAACTTAAGCATGAAATTTTGGGTTTCTTTATACATATATATTTTTGATAGATATTGGTTTTATTTTCTATTAATATTTTTTGATAGGGGAAATGAAGTCCTACTAAATTGAATTATGATGGATTTAGTGCTTCATCACAGCATACATGTACAGTACATGAACATGTACATAGAGATAATTTCAAATAACGGAAAGGGTATGTCTACATGTACATGTACGTAAAGTGTAGTACATCAAAATCACAACTATTCTTTCAATCGGCTCAAGGGCGATTTCAATTCCCTATTGTATGTCCCAGGAAAGCCATGTCTGGATTATGTACCGTAATACCTTACTGTTATGTTCGCACTTTACAATAGGTGACGGGCATGTTGCGATCTTTTAATTTAAATGTACAGTACATAGTGTTTAAGAAAGCAACAGATCAATTACCATAGGGTTTTAATCTCATTTTTTAATTTTGAAGATGTGGTCAGCAAATCTATGTGAATCTCAAATCAGCAAATGATAATTTTAATTAGACTGTTCAAATAAGGAGAATTCTCCTAATTGTTTTAAACCATCATGAATTTCTATTTCTCTTCTCAATCTTGAAAAATAAAATTATCATAACAATTAGTAGCACCCAAAGCCACAATAGAATCATAGCCTAAAGCTGCAAGCACATTCAGCGACATTTGGATTTTATTAAATAGGTTTGTCCTCCATGATAGTACGATTCAAAAGATAATAATTTACAAACAAATAAAATGCAAATATTATAATAAATATGGTAGAAATGTAAACAATGAACACCACTGCACAATATGAATAATAAATAATTTAATTTCTAATACGAGTTCAAGGAATTCCTATTGTATCTAGTTTCCTGTTACAAAAATTACTTGGACATCAATTTCTTTTCCATAATTCTTCTTTTAAATAAAGTGCCACCTTCAGTACAAATGTTCAATGTAATTTCTTGAATAGTTTCAAAATCTCCTTTTTAAACAACAAAAAAGAAAGAAAAGAATACAAGTGCCTTAATAAAACAGTGAATGGCTTTCTCTGCTCTTTATTTCAACTTTAAAAAGCCTCTCATGTTTTCATTTATGGTATCAATGACCATTTCTATCATTTTAAATTCAAGTTAGCCAAAGCTTAATGATTGCTGTTACATGTAAATCATATCATGGGCCAGAGATCAATTTAAAAATACACATATTATATGCAAGCAAACTTGAATAAAGATGCCATCTTCACTTTCAACTCATAGAGATCTGGAACATTTTCAGCAAATTTCAGTGAAATTTCTGAAAAATGTTGTTTCTGAAAATGTTCTGTGAAGCCCATCTGCATGATTCACCATGGATTTGGTCAAGAAAGTGACCAAACTAGGAGGCAAGAACAGACTATGAAATACTTAGAAAATGTGGATATACATGTCATTACCTGATAAGTCATGGACAATTTACAAATTAAACAGCGCTACTACATGTATTGTAAACTTTAGAATTTAAATCAACGTTCAAGCTCAAATGTGACATGACTGAACTTTAATAGTGAACATGGTTTTACAAAAAAGTTTGCAAATACTGAAGAACTGAATACACACACCTGTGTATGTTCAATTTGGGGCTCCCTGGTCATGGAGTGAGAGTTTATAACAACAACAACAAAAAATTTAGGGCAGATATCGCATTTCATTTCCATGGAATATTATAAAATAAAACGTTGCCAGGCTGCTTTTAGGTGTGAATGAAGGTAAAAGATCAATGTTCTGAAATGATAGCATTTTAAGGGGGCTTCACACGGGGTAAAAGATCAAAACATATATAACTCAGTCTCAAATCCATTTCATCTGAATAGGATCATCACATCACATCACAACCCTATTCATCAAAAGAAATACAGGATCATCCACTGGTTGGTAATAAAGGATATGAATTACAGCAATCTACAGTACAAAGACACATCATGTGCATGTAATTGGTAGATGATACCTGAGAAGATTATTAATATTGACATTCATCCATCCACATATCCATCTATCTATCCAATCATATATCATTGAAAGAAATAGCACTCATCAGGAATTTTAAATAAAAAGCACTGAAGATAGAACATGTTCACAAGAAGCTAAAGGAGGCCTAAAAAAGTGGAAGATATTCTCTATTAATCAGATGCACTGTGCTTCTCAAAACTTGTAAACTACACAATCACTTACTCTCAGGGCTGGGTGTGGTCAAGTCCATCACCGGCTCACTCTCACGTGTGACCTTGTCAACCTCTGGTTCAGGAATTCTCTTCTCGCTTATTGCTTCCTGAGGAGGAGATTCCACTTCTTTGGAAACCGGATCTGCAGGGATGGCATCTATTGCCATCTGAGCATCCCTTGGCTCCATCTCAACCTCCTGTGCTCTGTCCTCTTTTCGTTCATCCTCCTTCTCCAGAACAGCTTCACTTGTATCCATGTCTTCAACGTTATTCATCAGCACATCTTCAGGCTTCACCACTGCTTCTGTCTTCACTGCTGCTTCCGTCTCCACCGTTGCTTTTGTCTTTGCCACTTCCTCTGGCTTAACTGCCATGTCCTCAGTCTTTCCCTCTGACCCCTCGACACTCTCTGGATGACTCTCTCCTTGTCTTAGAGCTTCCTGGTCGCTGCTTTCATCCTCCTCCTCCTCCTCCTCCTCCAGGTCTGGATAGTAGACCTTGAGCCTGACATGCCATGCGATGCTTGTACAGGCCGAGACGGTCTTGAACTGATGGACCACATTCCTTGGGATGAAGTAGATATCGTTATCTCGCAGCCTGATCCTGGCGTAACGGATTCCTTGCCTCCTCAACTGGTTCAACTTGGCATCTTCCACCCACTGTACACACTGCAAACAAATAGAAGAGTGAAATTGAATGCCGGCCTTCTAAAGTCATATAAAGTCTTTTTATATAGATTATCTTTCAAACAAGTCGCAATGAGAACTCTGAATTGATAATACTGGTAATCAAAAGTGAAGTTTCAACAGATAGGTTGCATTTTTCTACAGGTTCATGTAGGTGGTCACTGTAGCAAGCCTGATTGTACTTCTCATATAAATGTATGTGTAAAATCAATTTTTATAGGCAATGACCAGTAATAGTAAAAGCATATATTTTGTTCCAATTAAATAATTTCAAATTTATAGAGTCCAAGTGTCAACCTCGCCACCACATAGAAACTACCATTACATAACTGAATGAACAAACAAAAAATATCTACTGGTAATTACATTGTATGAATTCAACTTTTTACTTTCATCTCATGACTGGATTCAATTGTTCATTTGTCCTGTCAAGCAACAGAATTGCTTGCAATGTAATTTGTTCAGTGTAAATATGAACACTTGGTGCTCCTAAAATCAGTGGACTATACGGTCAGACCTGGTTGAACTTAGTTCTTCTTTACAAACAATACGAGCCATTGATACAAAGTGTATTAAAAGGAAAAGAGTGCAAACCTGTGAAACAGGAGGTTCATGTAGGTCCAGCTGCATGGCTTCTGTGACATCAACAAAACTAGCCGAATGGAATGCAATCACATCTTTCACTTCTCTGTTAGGTCCCCTGTAATATTTTGTGTAAACAACAGAAAACAATACCAATCGCTTAGCTTTCTCAAGAATGAATACATCTTTGAAACAAGCAGAACATGGACAATTAACACATGATTTCATCTGTCCAACACAGTAGTTCTAGTGATTTTTCCTGTAAAAAAATAACAGCTGCAGCTATACATTGCATGCTTACACGTACATGTATGTCACAACTATAGATACTATAGATCCTTTGCACAGTTGTTAATATTCTGTTTTAATTCAAATTCCCTTTTTCCCCCAAATTGTTATCAAATACATAAAATAACTCCCATTAAATCATCATTTTCTTATCCTTTTTTTTTAAAGGAAAAAGCAAATTAAATCAGCATTCATTCTGATTGCTAACCCTGACTCTGTCAATTGACTCTTGGAACTTTTATTGTTGCACTTGTCCATACTGTACCAAACATTCTAAACATCTCCCAAACTCACCCATAATCATTGACATGTACTGCTTTTAGGACTCCTACAGCAGCCGTGGTGACCCTATCAAAACCTTGACCAACATGATCAGCATGGCAGCGAGTCCTATCCTCTACCAATACTTCCCGAGGTTCAGATACACGAGGTAGGTATTGAAGGTTCTTCAGCTCATTCAGGCCAGTTCTGGTAAACAGAAATTTACAATAATATGGCATAAACAGACTTGAAATACATTGTAGATAACAATGATGTGCCTATTGTATCAACAAAGAATGAACAAAATGATACTGAACACTCTATATTTTTCATTATTGGTCTTCATTGCTCATTAGTAATACATAAAAGTGGCTAAAATTCCTCCTTCCAGTCTTTCCATCAGTACATGTAAATAAACTCAACTCTTGTTCCAAGTCATCGACTCTGACCATTGTACATCTACATTGTAACTTGTTCAATTATATTTAATATCTTACATTTGGTATCCAAACGTCTACCGGTATTTCTATTTGAAGTGAAGTGTGAATTGAAAATAATGGAATTACAGTCTTCTTTCTATGATGATAAATTGTTCTGATGTAACTGGATTAACTCACCTTCTTTTCTTCATTGGCGACCTTGGCAAATCAGCTGGAGGAACAAGCTGCTCACCAGGACGAACCCACAGAATTGGTCCATCATTACTCTCTTTCCTGGACTCCATCTTCTCTGCAGACATAGGACCCCAAGGCATGGAATGCTTCAAGAATGGATTCTCCTCTAGGATGCAAAGAAAGTGTTCAAAGTAATCCCCCACCTCCTCATTGACAGTACCCACCAGACTCATCTGCAGGAGTGGCCCTGACCTGCAGGTGCCATTACAGTATGTCTTCTGGACCTCTGCATAGTACTCAGGCATGGTGGTGGATACAATGTCAGACTTGCCCATTAGCTCACGTTTGACGATCGTCTGTGGGTGATTGGCTGCAAAGTAACCGATGAAATCTGGCATATACGTGGCTGCATCATGCACTATCCCCATCACATGTTCAGTGACACCTTCCGTCTTTTCCCCGAAGACAATTTCAAAATATTCCTCAACAAACTGCTGCATCTCATCGTCTTTAAAATGCGCAATTTCCTGAGCGTACACGTGAACGACAGAAGCATCACCATTTGGTTGATGTTCAATATGAATGTACTTTGAAAAATTTGACTTCTTTTCCTGACTGGTTTCTTGGTCGAACACACCAACACTGTATTCTTTGTCTAAGAAAAACTGATTTGAATGATTGCTATCAGGACTTTTGACCTTATTGAAGAATAAAGGAGACTCTGGCTGAGAATGGGGAGCCTGCTTCATGGGTGAGGGAGAAGGAGATGATGAAACTTGGGTAGGCGAGGTCGGGATGTCTGCTGTTCCTTCATGCCCATTGTCGGCACCATCTTTCTGGTTTTGATGATGGGTTTGATGGTGGTGGTGACGATGGTGATGATGACCCCGATGATGGCGGTGATGCTTGTGGTGTTTCTTGGGCTTGTGAGAGATGATGTCAGACTTCTTGATATGAAGCTTGAGCTCACATAACCCATCTTTCTTCACAATCCTGGCAGGTGATGTGGTAGTTGTTCCTTGAGTGATGACAGGTTTTCCTTCAGCTGAAAAGGCAGGAATAAATCAAATGAGCTTTAATCGACATGCATCAATGTATGATTTACTATCAGCGCTGGCCTGAAGAAAATACCATGTTTCATGTCCGGATGGAGCGGGGCTTTTTATTTTTCAAGATGGCCGACGTTAAAGATTTTCAGCAATCCCTAGTTAACTGTGTTTGCTATAAATGAAATGTTACAAATAAAACAGACAATTATATAGCCACACAAGAACTAAACATATTTACATCGTTTTAATGCTGTGTTAGCACCATGTTTTACACTTTTAAACTTCACACAACAAATCCCTTTATATCTGTGACAGAAAACAACTGATTTACTGCAAAAATATTTACACAGTCTTACATACTAACGCAATCAGGGTTTTGTAGCCTCTCTTACCAGTCACATTTTATAGCTACCATTGTCAACGTACATTGGGGATGTTGTAAAAACTACATTCATGATCACATGATCATATTCACAAAACCGTGATCACATTAACACAATTGCACAAAGGACCACTCGTAGCCATGATTTTAGATTCAATCTCCCGATGACTACAACTTTTGCCATGCTAGTTGGAAAATGGTAATGGTAATGGCAAGACCGAAAAGCATTTTAATTTAGTCTAGGCCACAGCAGGTAAATACTAAAATAGACTCATGCAAAGACATATTTAGATGGTATGGTAGCTACACGATGTAGAAAGTAACTGAGAGAGTCTATATAGAAAACTACAAACTCGCAAGCATTTGTTTTCCAACGCCAACAGATTTGTTGTGATTTTTATATTATTGTTCTCATTTTTGGGAAATAAAAAATATATTATTAAGTTAAGATCTGAGATAAGAGTAAGACCATTTGATTAATTGTTCATAATCAACATAGACTATAATATCTGGACTAGATATCTTTTCAATTATTGGAATATTAATTGCTAGAATTAATTACCAGGTTCATCTCCCCGACTTGAAGGTCTGTGTTTCTGCCTGCTGGGCGACGGGGAAAGCTCTGGGTCGCTTGTACTCGAATACCGTTGCCGATAGTCATTGTACATGTCCTCCATGTAACCCGAACTCGACAAACGTCGGTAGTCATGCTGCACCCTTCGCCTTTTCCCATATTCTGGACTGCTCAAGACTCCTTCTGGTGATTGAATATTATCTATTTTCACTTCTGAAAAAACTGGGATTGGATTTCCTTCTTCAGGCGCCTTGTTTTCCACATCTGAAGTGAAGCCTGTTTCAGGCTTCGCTATGACTTCGTCATCTGCCATGTTTTTCTGAACGAAAAATGCAGTCAAGTAGCGCAAGTGATAAAACGTATACTAAATATAAACGTCGATTTAAATGTAAACTATTAAAAAGATAACGATTTTGTGTGCAGCTCCTGCGTGCACGCTTCGCGATGTCTTGTGGCCGCATTTACTAAATGTGTTGTTGTTCGTTCGTTATGGTTTGTTTGTCTGTATAATCATCTGTCTATCTGTCGTTCTTCTGTTTAGAGCGATAAGGCATAAACAACCCTTTTAAACACATACATACTGACACTCTCTTAAAAGATCGCAGGGTCCCTAATTATACTGCGCCTATACCCCACTTAAAGGTATTACAAAGTTTTGGTATGGGGTCATGGATTTAGTTCAAATTAACATATTGGAAGCATATGCGTTCCTACAATATTCATTGATCGTTGTCCCGGTTAAAATCGAGTCTAAAGTTATGATTATAAATACTAAAACTCTTTATGTTGTATAGCTCCATCTCAAGGTCTGAGATATCAATTTAGCTATGAAACAATGTTTCTTGACTAAAATCGACCGATTAGCTATTCCCGTTTGGAAATTATATATCACAACTACATATTCTGAGATTTTCATGGTCGCAGCTACCATTGTATACGGCCGTAGGCGCTATTTGAAATTTATCAAAATTTACCGGGAGCACCGGTAAATTTTTATATTCATTTTTTCTCGAAAACTAAAATGTTTTAGGGGTTAATTTTCTTTAGTGCTTATAATACACCCACAGGGGCATCCAAAATATATCAAAATTGTATAGATTCACTATCCACCCAATTTTCAAAAATTCCCCAAACTTTGTATTACCTTTAAACGAGTATTATTTTAAAGGACATTAATAAACAAAACTAAAGTGATATAGTTGTTGAAAGGTGATTTCTTCGGGAATTTCCCTCACTTTCTAGTTTCTACTAATAATCCATCTGTCTATCTGTCTATCTGTCTTTCTGTTTATCTTCTGTTTAGAGCGGTATAAGACCTAAAAAAAAAAGCTTTTTAAAGAGAAATACTGACATTCAGATCGCAGCTATATAGGGTCCCTAACTTCTTTTGTTTTTCATTTGTTCAATATGTATACAAATATATTATGTAAAGGTAACCTTAATCACAAGCATAACATGGCATAATGCTTTTAAGGTTTCTTCCTCATTACCTGTAGATTAAGTTTGCATCCTTTGTATTTAAAGACTTGCATAAAATCGTTTTTATTGGGCCACCTATCTATCGAATATATTGTATGTTTTGTTACATTGTATATGCGTTACCTTGTAAATTCTTATGTGGAAATAAAACCTAAAATGAAATTTAAAAAAATAAACTATACTGCGCCTATAAAGGACAGTATATGATAATATAAAGTAAACAAAGCGGAAAGCGGACATTTTTTTTTTTTTTTTTTTTTTAGTCCAAAAAAAAAATCGCAACGACTCAACCAGCCGAAAAGTCGCTCAGTTGGGGGATGGGGGGGGGGGGGGGTAGTGAGCACATTTTTTTTTTTTTTTTTTTTTGGTCCTAGAAAATTTTAAAATTTGCACCCCCCCCCCCCCCTTGAGCGCCAGGGGGGGGGGGTAGTGAGCACATTTTTCTTTTTTTTCTTTTTGGTCCCAGAAAATTTTAAAATTTGCACCCCCCCCCCCCCCCCCTGGATCCGCCACTGGTTATTCCAATTATTTATGCTCCGCACTGAAAATGACATCTGCCTCATCTTATAGTTTTGCGGTGGGGCTTCCTTATTTTGAGCCTGTGTGAAATTCAAGCGTGGCTAATTTTTAATTCGATACCAGTTTTTTATAAATGTTGCTGATATGGCATGATATTTCCCTAAGCTTCCGGGGGCTCTGCCACCTGGACCCCACTAAGGACCCGAAGACTGGCCCCTGGTTGCTCATCTGACCGTAAATAAATGACTAAAACGCCTGATCTTCCGGGGGCTCTGCCCCCTGGACCACTAGTGACCTGCGTGCCAGTGTCACAAATAAGGTATCAAAATATGCTCATCTGACCGAAAATATATGCCTAAAACCCCTGAGCTTCCGAGGGCTCCGCCCCTGGATGCTCATCTGACCTTAATAAATGCCTAAAACCCCTGAGCTTCATGGGGCTCGATCCCACCCTTAACACCCGCCGGGGCTTTGCCCCTGGACCCCACGCCAATGTATGCTCCACTTTGCTTTGCTCTACCTGATCGTAAATACGTTAGCCCCCCACCCCCCCCCCCCCCCCATTTTTAAAAACGTTCCAAGGGCCTGCGTAACATGTAAGAGTGGTGGTGATGCAGATTTTTTTCTGCCCCCCCCCCCAAAAAAAAGATCTTCTCTTATGTTATTTTTTTGAGGGGGGATCGAGGTGGGTAAGTTTTGTTTCCTATAATATAGGCCTACTGCGAGTAGGCCTATTTTGTTTTCCCAGCCATAGGGAGTTCCCCATGCATGCCGGTAGATCTATGTATTTATAGATACCAAAATATCATTAACAAAACAAAAAACTTTTCAAGGTTAAGTAATCTCAGTGACACTAACTGGAAACAAATAACCCATCGATACGGTATGCATTTTTATCAAAATATTTTTGTTGCTTACTTTTTTTCTCCAAATTTCGATACGGGAATCAAATAGCGCGCGCCACGTCACATCACTTTGATTCGAATTATTCGGTGAAGAGCGGAGGCTAAGCCTAGTATTAAGTAAGGTAAGGTTTTATAAATGTTTTTGAATATTTGCAATTAAACCAAGGTTTCATACAGTTTGACTTAAGCAGTAGATTCTTGAGCCGAAGTTTAAACGGTGAAAATGTGAAGTTGGTTAATAAAACAAGAAGAGAGATTTAATGGAAGTATCGCGGTGCACGGCCGGGAGATTTTACATCGGTCAGACAGGGACAACCCGACCCTGATCCCACCGCGCCCGGGTTACTACGGCTGCGCTGGGGCGGCACTTGGGTCGGACTAGCCGGTACTTGGTCGGCAGTCAGTTCGTTTAAATGGTGCCTGGATTTAATCTCATCATCTTGAATGCCAATAACTTTTTAAAGGGTACTATTATAGCCAAACTTTAGTGAAGTATGAAAAGACAAACGGATTTAAAACAAAGTTGTAGGTCAGCTCTCAAATTTTATTTGACATGATTGACATTGTGATACATTTTAAAAATTCAATGATTGATATCTCGTTCTGTTCTTGTAAATCTAGAGATGTAAATCATGTATCTGGGTGAATTGTTTGAAAAATGTGGTAGGGTCCAGCTATGCTAGGTCTAAGATGGAAGTGAGGAAAAATCAGTGGAAGATTGTAAGAAAGGGGAATGATTAGTTAGATATCTACTTCAAGGCACTGTCAGTTTTTCATTGTAACTAATTTGTATTTATTTATTTTTGTGGGGGTGGGGCCTGGGGCAAAGGAGATCTTGTAATACAGAATTTAGGGGGTAATTTATTTACTTTGGTAAGTTTGGTTTACTTTGGTGTCGAGGATTGAGGCTTCAGCTTATATGTGCCCCTCTTTACTGCATTGGTTTCGCGTTGGTATGGGTAGTATTTCAGCGGATGGACGATGATGTTTCCAATGATTTTCGAGTTCTGACTTGAACTTATTGATTGAAGAGGCATTTATGGCAATTTCAGGAAGGTTATTTCAATTATTTATGCTCTGCACTGAAAATGAAATCTGCCTCATCTTAGACTTGCAGTGGGGCTTCCTTATTTTGAGCCCGTGTCCCCTTGTTCTGGATTCTTTGATGATTTCAAACATGTCATTCTTCTCTACAGCCTCCAATCCATGCATGATCTTGTATATATTTGAATTTGAATTTGTTCTTATTTTTCATCTCCTATTGCACCATGTTTCACATTTATCAATTCTTACATGAGCTCTTGCTCTGTACTCATCAAATAATCAATTTCAGATACAAGATGGAAGGTGACTGGGGGGACTACGAGGAGGAGGACTATGGGGACATGATGATGGAAGACTATCTTCCAACCTTAGAGGACCTTGAAGCAATGGGCATCGACACTGAGCAGCTCCGGGACCTCCCTGACAAAGCCCTTTACCAGCTTCTTCAGCAGTACATGATGGCTGGCAACCAGATGGGAGACGGCATGTATGAAGATTACGGTCCAGGCGTAGATATGGGAGCAGAACAAGATTTCTCATATGTTCAGCATCTTCAAGATTGTACGATGCCTGTCACACTGCAGGCAATTCAACTCATGATACCTCTATTTCTGCTCTGTGGGAGCTTAAGGTTGTCTGCATTACTAGGTAAGTTCTTTGGTCCAGTCACAGATCCAGGATTTTAGGATAAAGAGGGCTTATGCAATATCTAAAAAGTAATTCAAGCTTTGTTCATGAAACTTCATTTACTGCTTTTCTGTGGAAGCTTGGGCTGCACTTTATTTTAGAAGAAGAAGAGAACAAAACTGTATGACACTGTGTTGTCAAAATGATTGCTTTAATAATGGCTTTATTGGCTTATTTGTTACTTACAGTCCTAATTGATGGTAATTGGGGGAAACTTCTTTGCATAAAGTTATGGCTGTACAACACGTGCTCCAGCAACTATTGCTTCGTGGTCAATATCCTACACTAAACGAATTGCTAACTCCAAACGCTTGACCAACATTAAACCTAATCTGAAACCTAACTGCATCTACACGTGTGATGAAATAAAGTCTGGAGCACAAATTGTACAAATAATCACACTCTCTTCTCATTTGAAATTAAATGTTCTCTGTTTTTTTCTCTTGCCTAACTAAACTCAGAAATCCCCATAAGTATTCTTCACATGGTATGTGCATGTTCCGGTCTCTATCTGATATGGATAACATTCCAGACGGAAGCTGCATACATTATTTGTCTAGCTGTACTTGGATACCTTCTTCTTCTCATCCTTATGCTCAGTGGTGTCAAGCAGAAAGGACCTATCTCCGCCATTTTGTGCATCGCAACTGTTACTTCATGGTAAGGATTTGTATCAGTGTTCTCGAAAGCTGATTGAGCTGGAAAAAAAGGAGAAAGTGGAGGAGGAAGAAGAGAAAGAAAGAAGAAGAAGAACAAAGAAGAAGAGGAAATAAGGAGAAGGAGAAGAAGATAAAAAGATGATAAAGGAGAAGGTGCACAAGAAGAATGGACAAGACGAAGTAGAACAACAAAGGAAGAAAAAAAATGAGGGGAAAAAAAATTATTTTGTTTTTATTTTTAAATGCGAACCACATGCAGCTTATACTATCTTAAAGAAGAGAGGGAGAAGAAAAGGGGTGAAATAGACATTTGTATCAGTACCGGTACATAGTTTAGTAAATTGTATCAGTATATGGTTTAGCATTTTCATAATTTGTACATTTTCATGTCTTTGTATTTGTAGGGAGTTGTTCTTGGCTGATCCAATAAGTTGGCACAAAGTTAGAGGTGAGTTCTTTGAGAATGACTTGTATTATCTTGTATACAGGTATATGAATATATTAATCTGTGGCAATTAATAGGTCATCTGATTTTACCATTCGCTTACTCTGGACTTGGTTGAAACGCCAATTAATGTGTGTTCAAAGCTCCCATGCAGCAAACTTATAGCGTTCAGTCATGGGTCAAAAATTCATAATGAGTCTTCCTTACATGGCAGTTCTTCTGAAGTTGGTGAAGGGTAATATTGATTGTTACTCTCTTTGTTTATGCAGGTGCGCAGATGATTTTAATGATGAAGGTGATATCAGTGGGTTTTGATCTAGACCAAGGGACATTGTCAAGTCTACCTGGCCCATTGGAATACTTTGGCTATACCTTCTGTGTTGGGACATCTATCTTTGGGCCATGGGTGAGCTTCACAAGCTACATGGCCATGCTGCAACCACACCAACCGGTAAGGCTGTCAGCTTTCATTGCATCAAAGATCACCTTTAGTGGCTTGTTCACACATGGCTCAGGAGAGTGTTTCACAAAGACTAAGATCGACTTTAACTTGGACTAAACTATGGTGGGCCGTTCATGCCACTGTTTGCTCCCATAATTCGCTGGCAATAGTCTTCCACAGGACGTACAAATCATGGTCTCACATCTACAGAATTCAGCTTTTTTGATAGTTCATTATTGAAGGAAAAAATATTATCTAAAGATCATAATTGAGAGACCGATGGTGAGAGCAACCAGTGGCATGAATATTGCCTGCCATATTTAAGTCCAACTTAAAGTCAATCTTAGTCCTTGTGAAACACTCCCCAGGAACCATAGTGATATTTTCTTCACTTGTAAATGAATGGCAAGTGAGGATGAATGAAAGTAACTTGCAAAAACAAATGTCCTATGTTTACTCACTATCTGTGTGTTACATGATACAGAAACATGAAGCGTATTAAGGTTACGTCATTTGATGAAGACAAAAACTTGGTGTGGTTAGCGAACGTATGAACGTGAACAACATATTACTTACTATATATTTTGTAGAGGTGTCGTGGTCTAGTGGATATGTCACTGGACTGTGGATCACAAGGTCCGCGGTTCAAGTCCCACCGCGGCACTAATGTCCTTGGGCAAGACATTGATCTACATTTGCCACTCTCCACCCAGATGTTAAAATGGTTCCCCGGTAGGATGCGAAAGTTATTGTGGTTGGATTAGCAAATGGCGCTTGTAAAATGGCGACTGGCTGGAATGCTCCCCAGGGAGTGGAAAATGTGCATACATTGAGTGATTTCAAGTTGGGTGTTTAAGGCTGGTGTTAGTGTTTAATAAACACTAACACCAGCCTAAACACCGAAATGGAAATCAGCTGGTGTTAAGGCTTTGACCTCTGAATATCGTCAACTTCCGGTAGCTAGTGTTATCGATTTTGCAAAATTGTCGTCTGCTGAATCGACCTTTGTGGCTGGTGTTAATATTTTACGTACAAATGTCCTACTCACTAACACTAGCCCCTAGGGATTAAGCAAATGTTGATTTCCAGTTCGGTGTTAGTGTTGTACCCGCACACATTCAACGCATGAACGACGCCAATTTATTGTCTGACGATCAAATAAAAATATGTGAAACACGTAATTCCTATATTCTTTCATGTAAAATTAGTTATTTTCTAAGACCAGAGAAATAGGTGTAAATTTATTCTGTACTTTTCATGATATCTTTAGTTTTGATGTACTAATTTTAAATCATGGTCGTAAAATCAAGTATGTGGTGACGTCACGGCTGGTGTTAAACTATCGATTTTGATATAGGTATCGGGCTCTTAATTTCATCAGCAAATTCTCCGCTCGATTTAAGAGCTCTTGACTGCTCTAAACACTAACACTAACACTAACACCAAACTTGAAATCACTCAGTGTGTTGCAGGTAAGCCTGAATCCAATGACCGGGGTAATAATATGTTCCGTGCCTAGAAACAAAGTATTAGGCGCATTATAAATGTGAGCTATTATTATTATGTATCTTGCTACTTGTTATTCTCTTTATATTACCAGGAGAGTAAACTATTTTAACCCCTATTTTCTGCCAATATTTGAGAAGTTAAGACTGGAGTAATGTAAAGTGCTTGAAGTTTTAACTGGTCATTCTAGGGCTAACACAGCTTAATTTATAAGAAGAATGTCCTAGGACAATAGGACATAAAGGGTTTTAACATTTTTTAACCATCACCTTTTACAAATTTGTTGATCCCTCGACCAGTGCTAATGTATGAACTTCATTTTTATGTGCCATCATTTCTGTCATTCCTTTAATGATATTTGCGCATAGCCATTTGAAAAAAGAAATTGTTCAAACCACTAACTTTTTGTTACCTCAAACTTTTATGAATTGTTAATAATAATGGCTATTTTTCATCAAAGAATTTGTACAATTCGCCAAAATTCATTGCCTAGATTCAAATTATTTCACAGACTGACACTTCCACAAATCTGGACCAGTTGCAAAATTGGCAAAAATTTGAATTGCTCTCGAAAATCTCTGGTTGAGTTGGTTTTACAGTAAGTCATTGATGTAACATGTAATGACCTCCTTTGAAAATATTTCACCTTTTTTCTGACTTCCAGAATCTACGATGGTTCCTCCATGTTATTACCAGTTCATTCTTGGCTATCCTCTGCCTTCTTATATCAGTCTGTATTACACCCATTCTCTTTGTCGGCTATGAAGCAAGGTAGGTATTTGATGATACACCCAAATGTTTACCCTTTTAGTGCTGTAGAAGCTTGTAGCTGCCCTATATATGTATGATGTTTCAACATTTTTGAACAAATAATACCTTGTCTGTCTTCCAGACATTCAAGATATTGGGAAGTAAAATATCAAGGAAATGTGTCGATATCAAGACAAATAATGAAAATAAACACTATATGTCTGATTAATGTTAAAATTTAGTTTTAAAAAGTTAGTTCAACTGTATAAAAGGTAATAATAGTGTTCTGGAAATGAAACAAATTGGATGTTCTCATAATGGTTCTAATGTATTTAGATTTCAATACATTTCATTGAGTTGATATGGAACATAAACTCCAATATAGTTATCTATGTTGAATATTTCTAGACAGTAAAGTAGGACCAGTCTGCAAGACCTTGGGGAGGGGGGAATCCCCAGTAGACTATATGTATTTACAAATTTGCAGTCATAATGATGTGTTAAGAATAGCAAATATTTGCTTATGGTTACAAGGATCATTAATTGTTTTGTATTCTACTCTTGAACTATTCAGTTGTTTTGCCCTTTTCCCAATTCAAAGAGTTGTGCATGTTTGTGCCTTTACAATAAGGATTTCTGGGTACTTTCTCCTACATAAGGATTCATTATCTGGATGTATTTTCTGCATTGCGTATGTAAACAAAATAAATTTCCATTTATGATTTGAAGTAATGAATTGAATTGAAATGAATCTGTTTGCCTACAGTTTGTCATCAGTGTGAATAACTGAAGTCACTTTAGAATGTACATTTCACTTCTAAATGTTGTATATTTTACTACTCTATTCATCATTAAATGATGTCTTCATTTAACTGTCCATTTTGTTTTGTTTCTAGGTGGTTACTTGCATACAGCGATGCAGCTTCATTCCGATACAGTCATTACTTTGTGAGCTATCTATCTACCGCCTCCAGTGTGCTAGCTGGATATGGTGCTGTTAAAGACACTGATGGAAATACCAATTGGTGAGACTATACAGATATTTTACTTTGTAGGCTGGGGGTGTTTCACAAAGATCCTAAGTTGAACTTATCTCTAAGTTGGACTTAAAAATTATGGAAAGCCATTAGCATCTTTGAAAATATTTTGTAAAAGTTATTTTGAAAGGCATTAATTGTTTATTCAAATCATTCATATTTTCTATCATCAAGGAGATTTCATGTTCTGGATGTGGAATTTATAAAAAGTCTAAAATACTTGAATTTCTGCCTTTGAATATATTTCATTTTAAGACTCCAATGGCTGTCCATAATTTTTAAGTCCAACTTAGAGTTAAGTTCTACTTAGGATCTTTGTGAAACACCCCCCAGGGTGTGTTGTCGTTTTTTGTCCAATATATTACCAAGATAAATAAAAGATAAAAATAAAAATCCATAACTAACATTGAAAGTCTCAATTTTATTCTTATCTAGACTGATTCAAGCTATGGTAGGGCTGTCAACTTGATAGAATTACGGCATATACTAAGTGCATATTTTTAATGATGATGATGAGGAGGAGGAGGAGGGCAATGATGGTAACCTATGGGTAGAAATAGCTTAAAGTTGCCATTATTGAGAAGGAAAAAATTTGATTTGAATGCATTATACTCCTTTGTTTGATGTGTAAAATACCATGATACTTCTTTATTCCTTTAACAAATATATGTCTGTGTCTGAGATTGAAAATATGAATGGTTTTGATTTGTCTGTAAAATTCTTCATATTTATGTAAATGACAGAAAGGTGAATTTATTTCATATATTTGTTTTCCATTTATTTATTTTCATTTATTTTTCAGTTTTTTTAAATTATTATTATTGTTGTTATCATTATTATAATTATTATTATTTTTTTTGGGAGGGGGCAATATTAAATAATGTTACAATCAGATGACTGAGTGGCCAATTTGAAAGTTAAAAGAAATGCTTTATGAAATCATATTTTTGTGCAAACACCTATTTGAAATTATTGGAAAGATTGAAGCACACCGGTAATGATTATGTTCTCTGTTTGCTTTGGCATGCTGTCTCTTTGTACTTATAGGGCTTTGAACTTTGTATTATTGAATTTGTACATGAATGTTTATCATGTCATTGAAATGCTGTCTAACCCATCTTCCTATATTTCTAGGGAGTTTTCTGTGGCCAAGCCCCTTCATATAGAGCTGCCAAGGTCACTAGTTGAGGTGGTAACTAATTGGAACCTGCCCATGCATTATTGGCTGAAAAATTGTAAGCATTGTTTTTTCTGTGACACGTAAACTCCCTGTAGTGAGTTTGAAAGTGCATGAGGTATAATGGCCTGTCATGATCTCCACTCCCACCCCACATTAAAAGACCCCCAAAATAAAAATAAAAGCCTTCTCCATCTCATTTATATAGCTTATAACAATTGAACTTTCATAGTTGGAGGCTTTCAATAACACAATGTGGCAGCCTTACTGAAAACGCTGTAAGGCTAAAACATGGTGTTACCAAAAGCCTTCCATTGTGAATACTCACTTAATACCATGGAAACTTACAAAGAACATCTAACAATTGAATTATTATACTTCATCACACTAACAGTTTATAAAATCCCTTGTTCCTTGCGTGTACACATTGCTCAGTGTACACGCAAATAATGCTATATAAACCGATACTCCATTTCCTTGCCCCCAATGTACATATACACAGCTTTGGTAAACAATTATGCGACATGTTACAAACCACCATATTGGTTCAGTGATACCTACTGCTCTACTGTGTATAGCTTTCTTGTACAGTACACATTAAATTACATGTATGTACCTTGTAAGTTATGTGTGGTTGACTGAATGACTGTTGTTTTGTTATACCCAAATTTAGAAACTTGTGTAATTTAACAGTCAGACCGCAGCGCGTATGCTAATGAGGCTTTCAGGGAATATTTAATCAGCAACTCGTTCGCAAACTTGAATGATTAGTGTACACAGAACTGAGCGTGATTTTCAGGGTGATTGTACAGCGTTGCGCGTTCATGACGATAGAGAGCGTAACCACTTACATAATTCTAAACTGGCGCAAAGTTATGGATATTGACCAAAGTTTTGTTTATGTCAAGATGTCAAGACTCGACTGGCTCTCCCAAGAAGCCAGGGGCGGTATTCCGAAACTGTTATATCTGTAATATTGTTCTATCGTCACTTGATCCAAACCATTACAAACAGATGGATATTCTGATTTCTGAGTGACGTTTTTGTTCTTCCTTTCTCTCTCTTTACCACTTTGGATCAGTATTTAATTGAGATTGCGAGTAAGAAAGAAATTTAGACATTCTAATGTATTGATGAAGTTATATATTAATTTTAATTGTTTTATCCTCATTCTCCACATTATTTGTAGATGTTTTCAAAACAACTAGAAAACTTGGAAACTTTGTTGCAGTACTCATGACATATGCTATCAGCTCAGTTCTTCATGTAAGTTATGCAGTTCGTTTCAATAGTGATTTCATGCAATGTATAATGTACAACTTACCTGGTATGTCTTTTATCCATCTATTTCATCCCAAGAAGAGAAAAATATCGTGACAAATATTAATTTCATTCCTATCCAAGAAAGCAGACACTAGAAGAATAAAATATGAAAATGTTTTAAAGATTTTATTTGTTTTGTTTTTTGTTTAAATAAAAATGATTGTATTGTTTACTACCATACAATAAGCAAAATCTGGTGCATTTATTTTCTATGGATATGTATATGATAATTTGTTAGAAAGGTTTGAACAGATTCAAGGGGGAGAATCCTTTTTCTATGGTTGCAAATAGTAACACTTTCTTCAAAGAGCATTTTGAACCAACAGAGACTATTCCAGAGGACTTCCAATATGTTTCACACAAGTATTGTTTATTCTTTACAAAGGCTCTGGTGAAATAATCATTTCTTAAGCAGTCAACTCCTATTGCAAACTTTGCTAATGTCTGTGATTAAACTGTAATGATAGGACCCATCTTTTATATGGAGGTATAAAATAGGCATAGATACTAATAGTGCATAGCTACATTATTTAAAAAAATGTATCAAGCAGCTAACCTTGAAACATATCACCACTGGAGTTGTTGCGCAAATACATTGATTTCTAACTAATTAATCATGATATTTCTTTTATATTCAGGGTCTTAATTTTCAGTTAGCAGCTGTGCTTCTTTCTCTGGGGTTCTATTCATATTCAGAATATGGTAAGACATTTCTAAATTCAGTCTCTAAAACTTGTTCACATATGATGTGGTGAAATAACTTGTAAACCACAATACTATAACAATATTTGAGTGCCAGGAGCATTTATACTGCATGCCAGATGTCTGTGCTCCACAAGAATCCACATATATTACAAGACATTTGCTGGTATATATATATGGTTAGAATTCTGATAGCATTAATTAATTTATTTTGAATTTCTAGAAAATAAGGATTAGTTTTGTCCTGCAGAATTTGCTGTGAAAATAATTTGTTCATGTTGTTTAATACTTGAATGAGATGGGTTTCATTGTCTGTTAAAGGAGTGTTGTCTTCGATGATCAATGAAAGGGCTTTTCTTTTTTTCTTTCTGATATCATTTCTTTTATTCATATCTTTCTCTCTAATAGTATTCAGACAGAAATTAGCTGATATATTCAATGCCTGCATTAAGGCAAGGAGATGTAGAGGAGAGTGCACACATCATTATAAGAGTGTAAGTAGTTTTCTTCAAACATCTGGTGACATCCAAATATAAGTTTATTTCTGTTGATATGCAGGCTGCATCTCGTATTTCATTATTTAAACATTTATATATATTTCATAGATTTTTGATTATTTCTTAAATAATTTTCTCAGACGTGCTAAGCTCCACCCTAAAAATAATGCTCCAAATCTCATTCATCTTGTGACATCATCTGTCAATCATTAGTGAGCTAACAAGAGACAGTGGCCTGTAACTTCCCCCAGCTCAGCACATGCTCACAAAAAGATTGCATTCTTTCTTACAATACCTCCACATTACCTTTCTTTTCCTGGTGATGGTACAGCACGTCTGACATAGCAACTCCTATGTTAGTATTGTATGGGTTATTGTAAACAGGTGATTGCACTGATATCAGAACGATCAATCTCATTGAATGAATTCACACAGTTTGGACCACTTTGGTCATTTTAATTGTTGGCTTGCATTTTGCTGCATGACTGCATGACACTGGTTGAAACATGTCGACCCGTGAGCTGAAAAATCGGCTTGTCGCGTCTTGTCTGTGGGGGCGCTGATAATTGTGAATCCACTATATTACATATGCACATATTAAATTTGATATTTATTATTCTTTCTGTTTGTGTCTTTATCCACCACGCCTTTCTTTCCATTTTCTCTCTCTCTCTCTCTCTCCCTTTCCTCCCTCTACTGTTCTCTCTCTCGTCCCTCCCACTCTCTCTCTCCCTCTCTCCCTCTATCTCCATCTATCTCCCTTTCTCTCTCTCCATCTCTCTATCCCCCTCTCTCTCTCTCTCTCTCTCTCTCTCTTTTTCTCTCACCTTCTCTCTCCCTCTCATTCACTGGATGACCCACCATGCCTGCACCTATTCACACTCAGCAGACCCAACCATGTGTGATGATAGCCAATCTACTATTTGGTCTTTTAGCTGTGTTTCATCTAGCATATCTTGGAGTCATGTTCAACACAGACTCAGAGATACAGCAGGAGGTAATAAAGCAAGTTTTTATTTGCTTTCTAAAAGCCTTCTTCACACATGAATGGGTAGTTTGCCCAAAGAAATACACCCAGGAAAATGTAAAGAGTATCAGTAAATATAACGCATGTACCTTGCCTATCCCATAACACACAAATCAGTGAGTATGCATCTATAGGGACCACCGTTTTTATTCACCTACCAAGTTTTGACGCTGCAGTTTTTGATGTAAAATGACGTAAAATGGGGCCTTTTTATTAATTTTCTTAAATGTATTCTTTTACACATGCAATCATTTGTATTGTAAACATTTATTTCATCATTTGTTGTTGAATTATATAAGAGCTAAATTAGCAATGTTATGCAGTACATTTAGTAATGCAATACATTGCCATGTGATATTAGTGCTGTGGTTACAAGAATGTGAAATTGTCAGAAAAGGGTACATCTGTAGGATTATTATTTAAAGATTATGGAACATATGTTTATTTATACTTTTTTTTCTCAGACACTTTTAACTAATGTTCATAATAGTATGATAATATCCACTCGTATGAAAATCCATGAGAACGGGTACCACCTGTTTCACCTTGTGTGTATTTAATTTTTTGCGGAATAAGTCTTTTCATATCTATACTTTCTATATTTCTTTATTTATCATACTTGTTTCTTTGTTTTATTTTCGTACAGGGTTACACCATGAAGCATACGCTTGAGAAGTGGTCCAACCTCGGCTATGCCAGTCATTATGTAGTACTAGGAACATTCATCTTCTACTGGCTGATCAAGTGATCATTCAACCTCTCTATTAGCGCTAGACTGTAACCACAGACTAAGACATTGTTTGGAGTATATATTCCATACACACAGTGAATGTGTGGCAAAAGATGACCATGGCAGTCCACTGCTTGTTCCATTGGCCAACCAAAGCAGGGAAAGGGTTAAAGCAACTGAACCATGAGCTGAAGAGTGAACAAACTCTTCATTCCTTCTCGGACCATTCCACGATATCTACCCAGTACAGGATGCAGGATCAAGCCTTAATTCCAGATCTTCAGGAGTACAGGGTTATGGTAGGAGCAGAAAGGTGCTCCATTCTCCGTTTGTCCATCCTTGTATAATCCCATTTCTGCCTAAAAACTTTGCATCATCCTGCCCCTGTCCTGTCAATTCAGTCCTGACCAACACATCTTTTGTATTAAAGGTAATACAAAGTTTTGGGAAATTTTGAAAATAGGGTGGATAGTGATTCTGTACAATTTTGATATATTTGGATGCCCCTGTGGGTGTATTATAGGCATAAGAAAATTTGGCCCCTAAAGCACTTCTGCTTACACGAAAAATACGGCCGTACAATGGTAGCTGCGACCATGAAAATCTCAGAATATGTAGTTGTGATATATAATTTCCAAACGGGAATAGCTAGTCTGTCGATTTTAGACTCGATTTCAACCGTGACAACGATCACTAAATATTGTAGGATCGCATATGCTTCCAATATGTTCATTTGAACCAAATTCATGACCCCATACCAAAACTTTGTATTACCTTTAAGGGTAGAAGAGGATTGAGTCCAGACCCCAAAGATAATATAAACAGGATCCGCATCACTTCAATCCCCACTCTGTGGGGGTTTCTTTGCCCACTCTTACAAACAGGATTGAGTCTGTATTTATTCTGAACTTTAACAAGTTTGTTTGTCGTATTATGAACAGTATGTGCAAAAAGCCCCTGTTGATTTGAATACTCTCTTATGTAAATTGTATATTGGTATAGTGTACAACTAATCGTGCAAATGTACTTTATAAACATGCTGCCATTTTTTATTTTGGTCATGTTACACAGTCTTCCATTTTAACTTGTAGGCGGAAAATTGATACCAAATTATATTCATGATTGTTTGATGATGATTGTTTTACCTAACTGCTAAGAAAGCATGTTTATGCTTGTAAATAAACAACCAGGGGACCAACAGCTCTAAGTCCTCTCCAAAGGACTTGGAATTAAGATAAATGCCTTACCAAAGGGCACCAGTGCATCAACTTGGTTTTGAACCCGAGACCTCCCAGTTACAAGACCACTGCCTTACCTCTGAGCCATCGCGTCTCCTCTATATTTATATTACAAGTATTCTGATATATAATGCTTGTTTGGTCTTGAGTCATCTTGTCTGAAAGTTTTTTTAAAGAAGGTGTATCACGGCCCCTTTTACCTCAATCCAAAGATACCGGTAATATTCTTATGATAGGGAGTTCCTCCCTGTTTGAAGAGAGGCTAGTATTTCTTTTTAAAGTTCTTCTTTTGTTTTTGAATTTTTGCATATATATGTCCAGTCTATGACAAATGCTCAGGTGACAAGTGCTCCATGTTCAATTTCCTAAACTGATCAAATTCCTTATGGATCAAACGTTGTACCTACTATGTAGCCTTAACACTAAACCAAATCTGAAACCCAATTGGAACTCTACCCTAACCCTACACCTTTGATGTTTTCAAAGCCTGGAGCAAATGTCACCAAAGCAAACCCGTGTTTTTTTGTAGTTCCTTTATTTGAATCGCAGGGTTGAAAAAATTAAAACCTTGATACCAACTGTTCCTCCAGTTGTTCTGTCCAGGTTGACTTGAACTCCATTCTATCATGTCTTTTATTGCTTCTGATGTAGATCCTACAGTGCACATGTATGTATACCGGTATACAAAAACAAGAAATACTGATCAATCATACAAGAATATATATATATATATATACGAGTTGAAATTAATTTTTGTCCAGATATTTTTGTTTCTACTGTAGTTTATATTTTTAGTTTTTAATTTTTGATGAGGGATATCAAATATATCATGCACTCTTTTTGAAGCATCCGTAAAATATTGGATCTTGGATGACTAACATAGTTACTATACCACCGACCTCAGAGAAATCATCATTCCAAGCTATATTTGATTAATCATGTAGTGCTGAAGAGAAGTGGTCCAAAGGGACCAACAATCATACATTCCTGAAACCATCAAATGAGTGGACTGTTCTAAAACTTATGTTGAAAACTTTCCAGCAAATGTTTGAAAAGAGAAATATGCCTATTTTTACATCCCATGGTTTACAAAGTGTTTTGTAAATGCACTTGATACAAAATGCCAAAATTGCTTATAAATTTCTATTTGTTTTCCAAAGAGTAGACCTTTGTATAGTGTTATTAGTTTATGTTTGAACACTTACGGTGGAATTTTTACCATTGTTCCTACAGTAAATGTATTGTTAGTCGGTCAGTTGAAAGACTCTAAAACTAAATGTAGATGTTTACAAGACCTATTCTGTCAACTGGTAAAAAAATGTCTACAATAACATTTCTTCAAAGGACTGCCTTACTTTATGTGTGGGTCATCACTCAGCACAAAAATACCAAGGATAACATAAAATGTTCTATGTTATGTAAATCTTCACGTGTGTCAAAATTATAAAACTATTATTTAACTTGCTTAGAATAGAGATTTGTCTGCCTTTGGGACAAACTATAAATCAAGTCCTTTCATTTTACAATGTTGTGTTTTGATAAGTGCCTGATTTTCTTGAAACAAAGTGCCAAGTTATTCAAAATTTTCCTTATTTGTGCCGCGCTCCTTTTCATATTTTCTAAAGAGCCTTGAATACATATTCAGTGAATTTATTGCATTATATGATAGTGAATTGAAATCAATTCTACAAAATGTGTGTTTTATAATGCCCTTTAGGTGCTCAACAGAGGATTATGTGCATGGAGTATGTTAATGACATTACCTAGCAGTAGCCGTCTTTGTATTAGGTACATTTGGAACAAGAATTGTTTCCATACCTATTCATATTTTTTTCAATTTGTATTAAATAAATTTATAGGTCTATGTAGTGAACTGCAGCTAAGTAGTTAACATTCTTGTTCTGTCGAACATTTCATAAACAATTTTCTTTTTGCAATACCATTTTTTTATTTATAATACATTAAATTCAGACTTGACGTCTTGTCAATAAAATCTTGTCTTTGTTTGTTTAAATCTTAAAGAGTAATTGATATTGAAGTAAATCACTCAAAAAAGAATGGAAACTCAAATACGATTGTTATATCTTGCTTTTCATGGCATGATACCCCATTTGTTATGATTTTTTTAGTCAAAGTCGATCAAAGTAAAAGGCAAGGTAAAAAGTGAAAGTTGCAAATTGCACTGCTCTTGGTCGACTGTGCATCCAAATTGCCCTCTGCCCAGGCCTTTTCAGAATGAAGGTGATGAAAGTTGATGACTAAACACGAGGAAATCTTGCCTTGCGTGTCACCATAGTGCAAGAATTTTGATTTCAGATTCTTTAAAATTTGGCATTTATGGTGACCAGCTGGGAACAGTGGCCACTGTCATTTACAAATATCACACTCTCTTATGTCAAAGAAAGAAGAGTACTCTTGCATAACAGTACTAGTGCTTGCCAGTTCATTTGACAACTTTTCACATTTGACCCTGCCCCTTATTTTGATGTAATGCTCTCTTCATTTTGTGATGGAAATGTCTATGCTCTCTTCATGACTGCTAAATCATAACAAACATGGTATCTTTTTAAAGAGGAATAAACACAATTTCTAATGAAATGATTTGAGCGATGATTATGCCATGAAAAGAGAGCCATAATTGATCGAACAGGAGTTTCCAATTTTTTTGGAGGGATCTATCTTATGTGTTGTCGCTCCATATTTGTAATGTCCCAAAATGAATGATCAAATAGATGACCAATAATTTGTAAAGCCAACAAATATTTGATATTATAAAAAGGAACCAATGTCTGAAAAATCTGTAGCGCTGTATGTGGCAGGCGCGGATCCAGGATTTCTTAGGGGAGGGGGCCCAACTTTCTTCTTTTTTTTTTGCTCCCGAAAATTTGAAAATCGCGCCGGCCGAAAAGTCGCTCAGTGGGGGGGGGGGGGGGGGGGGGGGGGAGTAGTGAGCAGAATTTTTTTTTTTTTTTTTTTTTTGCTCCCGAAAATTGAAAATCGCGCCGGCCGAAAAGTTGCTCAGTGGGGGGGGGGGGGGGGGGGGGGAGGTAGTGAGCACATTTTTTTTTTTTGGTCCTCGAAAAAAATTTCAATTTGCACCCCTCCCCCCTTGAGCGCCAGGGGGGGGGGGGGGCCCAACCCCCAAAAAAGGTAAAAATCACGTGATTTTACATGATTTTTTTCTCAAGGGGGGGGGGGGCCGGGTGTTTCATTCCGCTAAACTATATTCGACATGATTTCCTAAATGTTACTTCTATACAGAGATACAGTCAAACCTGCATTAGTGACCATCTGTATAAAAAGACTACATTGTACCCCTAGAAAATGCTTTTTATTTGAAAAGTCTTAAATTAGACAGGTGTATAATGACCACCTCCCTTTGAAGACCATCTTTTGTTGTCTGCCTGACAATGGTCTTTTTACACAGCTTTCATGTACATTACAGATTTAAAAACATTCACAATAAATGTAAAAGCAACCTGTGAATTGATTAGTCCACGTACCGGGAACACAAACTTGACATAGATTCCAGGCACGGGGTTTTATACAATTATTTACATTTTATTTCTTTATACTCCCTAACTATTAACTCAAGAATGCTACATAATCTTGCTTCTTTCTTTCTTTGGTGCTTTTTTTTTACTGGGGGAGGAGGTCATTATACAAACACATGTAGTTGTAAGCAAATAATTTGTTACGGTTATTGGGTAATTAGTCCACTTTAAACTGTTTTTTCTTTTATGATTAAAACAAAACAGTTATTTTTGTCTCAGTCCAGACTTCATATCTTCTTGACATCAAATCAAGTTTAGTCCTAAAATTGTTGAAATTCAGTTCAATCAAAATTTACAAGAAAATTTGAACTAAAATCAAATATTAACACAACAAAAAATTCAGAATACCACATGGGCCATCCATAAACTTTGATGATGGGCTATATATGTGTATAGGTCACTCAGACTAAATAAGTACTAACATGTACAGAAATCAAACCCTTGAAATTTGCTGTAAATTCATTCATTGAATTTAAATCAATTTAATCACAATAAATAGATTGTATATAGATACAAATGAGTATAAAAATATG